CCCAAACTATACTAATTTAATCTAAGTCAATTCTAAACTTTACCCTAGACTTTCCCTGTTATGATATAAACTATTAATGGAAATAATAAAGTCGATAGTAAAACAATCTCCTCCCCTTAAAACCCACGGTTTGAGCCTTGATTCTGATGCTATTTAAATACTTGACAATAGATGGGAAGCGAAATGTCTTCAAACTTGGAAAGCAAAGTCCAGTGGTTTGTTTTTAACTTTTTTTATACTCGTGCAGGACAGGGCTAAGCTGGAAACACTTCTCAGCGACACATCTGTTTCAAAAAGATCAAAGCTGTTTCGAGCTGACTGATTTGAGCATAACATCACTAGCTATAGTCTACGCTGCTCCTCGCTGTGGCATATTGTTTGTTTGTTTTTTTAAACTGTCATACTACACCACTGTTCACTTATTACTGTGGTTGCCTTCACCATAGATCACTCTAGCTTCCTTTCCAACTTGGTAAGTTTGTTCCTCCCATTAAGCTCATGTTATGTTTTTGATCATACAAACTTACAGATAACTCATAATACTGCAGATTACAACCCATATACCTTGTGGACATTCTCCCAATCATCTATCAAATCATCTACTCATTAGTGAGTCAAGTTATATTAATTTTATGTGAGTTTTGTGGCACCGCCGTACTCAGGGATGCATGTCACGCTAAGTGGGTGGTAAATAAAGTTCCAGGCCTGCACAGGCGATGCTCGGATGCCGACTTTTCTTTTCTGATTAATGCAGAGGGAAAGTTCTTCCTTTAAAAAAAAAAAAACCCTAACATGTTTATATATGGACTTATGCTTTGTGCTATTTAAATAACTTTTCTGTAACAGTGTCAGCCTCATATCTATGAGGCGATAGATAGATAGATAGATAGATAGATAGATAGATAGATAGACAGACAGACAGACAGACAGACAGACAGACAGACAGACAGACAGACATATAAATTATATTGGTTATATAAGCTCATTAATATATATAGGCTCATTTGTATATGCAAATAAATTTTTTTTAAAAAGGGTATCAAATATACCACTATTAATCATAATTCCCTTTGTTTGTCCTTTATGCAGTCAGTCCCGTACTAGCTAGTCAAATCGTTACACTGACAAGGAACAGAAAAATATGAGAAGGAATAGAGGCAAAAATATGTATTGATAATGTAGGCTGGTGTTTTCTAGTTTTAAATAGCAAAGACTAAGGACAAAATTTCCAGTTTGAAAGATCCTTGTAATGCTTACTATATATCAAATAAATTTACATTGCTGTTATATCTGTTCCTTAACCTTTGTGAAAAAAATGTATAAATTCAAATAGAAAGGAACATATTAAAAACATCTGGACACAATAGGATGATTTTCTGACTACACTGCTGGTAAAAATACTTACTGTGTATACGACCATTGTTTGATTGAAGCCAAAATCGTTGACAGTCATCCCTGTGACTGTCATGCTGTCAAAAAGCCACTCGTACTGCGTCCGCATTACTTTTCGTGACCACTCTGTGATTTCTGTACTGTTTGCATTGTAGAATAACTCAATTTCTTCATCTGAGTTGGAAAACAAACAAAACAGAGCAGCATTTTTGATTTCCCCAAGCATGTTAACATCAGCCCAGTGTATATTGTGGACATGTATTTGTACTCTTTTAGGTAAGGTTTAATTAATTGATGTTTCGGGTTTCACCTGAGTACATAATTGACTTAAAAGAGATGTTGCAGCTCTGTCTGTCAAATGGGAATCTGTAAACATGCATCTTGCATGTGCTGACCACCACCTGGTCATTTCTATATTCAACCCAGCCATGGCTCCGGATGTTAAGATAAGGGCTTGGAGAGGCTTTGTCTGCCTCTGTCCTGCAGGACAACATATAAATACAATCAGCTTTAAAGTAAATCTACCATAATATGACAGAATTTCAGGTTACAGTTTTACCACAACTTAGTCAAATGCTTCACTGAAAGGCAGAAATTATATTTTCAAATCATAATAAGCACAATTATGTTTTATTCTTTTTTGTTTGTTTTTTTAATCTTTTTTATGTCAAGGGAATTGCTACAGTATGTTAGTCTTTCAGTATGTGAGTACAACTTGATTGTGTTTTCCTCACAATTCCACTATTCCTCTATGCAGTAAAATTGTGTGGTATGCAGGGGATTATTCTGTAAACAAAAGGCTGTTAACCCAAACTCCAGCTCCGTCATTCTCAGCTTTGAGTCCTTGGTCAAGGAAAAACTTTGAATCCACTTTAAACATGCAAATCGATATTCATGGCAATATTTCAAAAATCTCCAAGTCAGGGGTCTCAAACAAATCCCTGAGGACCGATGTCCTACAACTTGTACATTTGTCCCTTCTGTAATACACAAGTCCAGTATGAGGTCATTAAAAAGGACTGCTAGAGTGCTACTTATTAGGTATTTTTATTCAGATATGTAGAACAAGAGACACATCGAAAAGTTGCAGGGTACTGGCACTTGAGGATTTAAGTCTGAGACCCCAGCTCTAAAGCAATATAACTTGACGAACTGACTTCATATGGATTAAAACTTACTTCTCTACAATAGTGAGATCTGGCATCCACAAAAATTTAGTAGGGACCAAGATATGTTCAATTCCACAGAAATGTTCTGGGTACCACCAGAGGAACTCATTGTCCCATCTCTACTTAGAGGGAAGAAACAGGGGAGACAGTACAGATAAGATATTAGAGTAGGAAGGAAAGAATGTGCGAGACAAAGAAATTTAGAAATTAACAAGAAATTGTATGCTTTATTTTAAGGTAAATAAAACTCACCAAGTAAACCCAAATATAAGCGATAAATGTCTGGTCAGTTTCTCTCTGTGAGCAAAGGAAAAAAAAGATTTTAGAGGATGTCACAGTTAACAACACCGGCATAAAAAAAGAAAAATGCTTGTACATATCATGTAGTGTGTATATGGGCAAGGAAGGTAAACACAAAAGCACATTCCACTACCCCTCTGAAACGATCTGTGCCAAGTTCAGACCAAGCTTGGATCAGTTAACTGTGCCAAGCTTGGTTTTTATGACCATTTACACATCCCGCTTGCACCGTCCTCATCTCCTATCGGTGGTCCACGATACTAGAGCTCTCAAGGCTGGAATTGCACTAATAAAAATGGTGCCGCTCATAAAATTCAGGGATTTATGAACCTGGATCGCGTCCTCCTCCGAAATTTCAACGAGAGCCTTGGTCTCATCAGCATCATCCCAGGTCATGATGATGCTGATGAGCACCACACACTTTGGGTGCCATTTATGGTTAATAGGTTGAGAGGAATTTTGTCTTCTGAACAGGTGAAAAGATCTCTGAATTGCAACGCCGGACACGCTGCAAAACCCGCAAAATGAGTCAGCCGACTGTAAATAGGAGATGAAGCGGTCTGCTCATGAGCTCTTTGTTATTAGAGAACCGAACCACAACTGAACCCTGAGTCCTAATGTTGAACTAATACTAGATTTAGTCCAGTTCAGTTGCGTTCCATTTACACTCAACAGTTATCTCAATGTCCTTGCTCTGACTGTTCTTGGCACAGTTAAAAAAAGGTTGTGTAAATAGGGCTTCTGTGTATCTTGCTCTGTCACTTATAATCTCAGTAAAATACATTGATTTTGGATATGATGTAACAAAATTTGGTAAGATTCAGCTGATACAACTACCCATCCAAAGCATTGAACATTTTTAAGGACTTACCAGATCTAGAATAGCATAAATCTTCATCTCAAGTAGCACCCATGTCAAATGATTGTAGTGTCTTACAGGCCGCTCCACAGTGTACTTGTCACTGTTCTGGGTCAGATTCAAGTGCTCTAAAACAGATTGAGAACTGCAGTTCTCTGGGACATCAACCTCATTTTCTGAAATAACAAGAAAAACACAGTAAGCACAAAAGGGTTTATTGATATTCAAAAACAAAATGAAATGTTGACTCCCATGAGCTGAGGGTTGTAAGAGGAGCATGCTGCCAGCAGTCTGAAGCCTGAGTGTTAGTCCTAGTGGTAATGCCAAGGACTCTGACCTTTCATTGCTTATTGTATTTCTCTTCTGTGTTTTTTGCATTAAGGAAACTCTGATAAAGTCTCAGATTCTGCTCCAGCTCATAACTCTTGGACTCCAAGAAATCCTCTCTATACCCATAGAATTTCTGGTTTCCAGACTGGCTGGCAGCTCCAAACCTTCCTTTTCCCCCCCGGACCAGCTTGCATGGTTGAACCCTGTCTGCCCACCACTGTGCTGTCTGTTGTTTCTACTAAAGATACAAATTCATCAACAACTAGAAATCCTTCAGATAAGCCTAATCTGGAACCATTAACTTAGTACCTACAAAAATATACTCATCGTTTGTTTTTCTTTCTGAGCTCCTTATCCATTTCCTAAACCATTTTGCCCTAGATCCTGCAGTCACCTTGTACTTATAATACAATTCTTAAACCTGATTTAATGGGGATTGGGGGTTCTTCATATTTCCCCTTAGTATGCAAACTCTCAGATTGACCCAGTGGTGTTCTGATTAATCTGCATACATTTTCTGAAGCATTTCAGAATCCAATATGGATGACTTTACAGGGCATGGGTTTGCAAATATTTTGAAACCTCCCCATGGACACTGCCCCCGGCCCTCAAAGTTTGTGTTCTCTGCTGTAGGGAGCTCATGTGTTCACCTACATACCAGCGCACTTAAGACAAGAGTATCAGCCGTGCAGGGTGCGTGAGTGGTATTTTCACTTGAGACCCGAACAGATAGGTTTCTCATATACTTCGAGAAAATTAGGAGGTAAATGTCTTTTAATACACATCTGTCATGGCTGTTACCGTTACTAAAATTCCGCAGGTGAGTTAAAGAAACAAATATTTGAAAGTAGAAAAAAATAGCTGGCTTTATCTATTATTGGTTACTCTTGCTTTCGTTCTCTTACCTACACTCTTCCAGCTATTTCCAAAATATTATTCTGAACATAACCTGAACTGAAAGCAAACACCAACAAAAACCAGTGCCTGTCAAAACACACGAAGATTCTGAACCACTTCTATAAATAATCACATTGTACGTCTGGCTAGCAAGGCTTGGATCACATCATTTTTGGCCGCGGTCCTACATGAAGCAAGCCTCGATGTGACATTTGTAGAAACACCCCTGCGACTACTTTGACATAGTCTAAAGCCCCAGCTCATCTAATAGCACCAGTCGTTTTAATATATATTGGGTTCTTACCTCGTACTTTTTCAAAGATCTGAAGAAAAATTTCTGGCCTTGGGTGTGCCATTACACTAATATCAATATTTCCTAAAAAAGAAGAATGTAATTTAGAATAAACACAGCTTAATGTTAAAATAATATATGTTGCATCATGTTCTGTAAACAAAACTTATGGAAAAGTATTTCACATGAGAATCTCCACATTAGTATCGCATTAAAAGATTGTCTTATAATGCAAATTTAAAGACGAGTCATTTTGTTGCAAAACATGAAAAAATATGAGGGATCGATTTGTCAAAACAAAAAAGAAAAACCAAGGGAAGAAGCAGTGATCCAGGGAGGAAAAAAACTATAAGACCAATCCAACAAGACTTGGGATGGCTTCACCAGTTCATGAAACACAAGAAAACCAACACGAATATGGAAAATTTGGTAAATTATCAACCATAATGTCAGTGTTTAATACTAAGTTTCTGCTGAATGTCATGTGAAATAGACCTGACGGTAGAGTGTCTACAGATTAAAATTTCATTAAAAACCATCAACAGTACGTGCTAATTTTTGGAGTAGGCCTACAGTAACAAAGACAAAGAGCAGCCCAACCCCATGTGTTGTCAGTGTAAGTTCAATAATATGCAATATACACAAACTTAATAAGCTGTATCTATGCTACTAATAGAGCTCTACAGTTATACATAACTATTGTATTATACGTAGTTTGTGGTGGGAAATTTTAATTTCCTATTAAATCCCCTTACATATATTGATTTATGAGTGCCGATTTTAAAATTATTTTAGAAAAGTGTTCAATCAAGCCTTCAGTGCCTGCAAAGCCATACTCTGTAAGAGAAAATAATGATTCCCATAACAAGCCAGACTACGTCTCAATGTTTATACAAAACATTTAACTATTTTTCTCATCTATATTAACTGTATGTGGAGACCTTCACAGTTTTTCTTGCAGACTTTAAGTCAGTGTCACACCTGCTCCTCTGCTGTGACCCACACACCTGGAATTAATCACCTTAATCAGCAGTTGAAGCCATTTAAGGACGGATCCTCCACCTGCACGGCATCATATTGTTGTCTAACCTCAGTATTCAATATGTTATTGAAGAAGCACAGTAACTAAACAGCTTTGTAATGAGTCTTTAAAACAGATTATCCTTAAGGGAGAGAGCAAAGAAAATAGCACAGTAGCAACATTGATTAATTAATACAATTTATTAATGATCTAAAATAAATACAAATACAAATCTAGAAATGTTTTACATTTTTTTTAGTTGCTTCCTTTTTTATTTGTGCTTCTCAGACAAAACTATATACATTTGCATACTGCACAATGTATCAAATGAGCCTGAAACATTAGTTTCATTACTTGATTGCAAACGTTTAATCATTCTCACTGTACTATTGCATCTTGCCAAGGTCCAAACAAAGTATGACTTTGGTTGATTTCAGCCATAGCTACTTGAAAAGGTCTTAACTCTTATCTCTTTGTAGGTGTTGAAGCAGATTCAAAATGTTTTATCATTATCTCCCTTTTATCTCCTCTTTCTTTAATCTTTTCTCTTTTTTTCTGTTTTTCCTTTCCTGTTCTACTAACATCACAGTGTCCATATAATCTGTAAAACTCCCTGCATAATTACAATTAGTGTTGCGCCGATGCCATTTTTTGGCCCCGATACCGATACCCGATACCCGATACCTGG